CCCCCCCCTCCCTCTTCGCGGTACCATCAAAAATATTGTTGGGAAAAAAAGTGGGGGTTTATTTTACCCTCACCCCCCCGAAAAAAATGGTAGTTCCATTTTAGCCACAAGGGCCATTTTCTCCTCCTCCCCCGCCCCTCTCTCTGAAAGTTCAATTTTTCAGTAAATTCGCTTTTTTTTTACGACATTTTTTCGTTCGTCTTTCCACTGATTCAGTTACTATTACATGTACATATGATGTTTATATTTTATAAATATTGGGGCCCACCAATTATGCACCCTGAAACGGCTGGAGCCTATGGGGCCCTGCGAAATTATCATTTGGTGATACTTCCGCTGTTACCGACAGGGAAGATTTTGATATGGAGCTTCACAATTGGCCGCAAAACGTGGGGGGGTAAAAGGCAATTCACAAGTAACCAGATGTGGAAGACGGGCCTTAATTATCACTGACGGTGCTGATGAGTTGGCAAGTATTGGAGTATTTCGTATTTTCTTCGTCTCGGTAAATATTCAATCATTTTGAGAATGAGTTATTCTGGAGAAGGAAATTGTCAAAAGACAGATTGCCATAGATTTTCTCAACTACACAGAAGTCTCTTAACATAGACTTCGAAAATTACGCATTCCATAATCTATTGACAATATCATTGTTGAATGAAAACTTTTCTCAATTTTGTTATTGATGCAATATGAAAATAAATTGATAATAATATTTGAAACTTTTGATTCAGACAGACTATTACTAGTAACGAATGATTCTAAAGGAGAAAGTGAAAAGAGAAAGATTTCTTATGAATATTTTATCAACTACATAAGAGGTCTTTTCACATCAATTCCTAAAATCATTTCAGTAGAAACGAAATCTGCTGGCAAAATTTGTTTAGGAAACTTTCCTCAATTTTTTTTTTATTGATTGAATATGAGAATAAAAGAATAATAATATTTGAAACTTTTAATTTAGACAGATTCTATCAGAAACACTTTCTATTTTTTTTTTATAGTATTTCCCAAACCACTTTGGCTATTGAACAGTTTGATTATTTTTATTAGAGTGTAAAGTAACTGACAAAGGCTTCTATCTGTAATTAAATGAATTCTGCAAGTTTCTTCCATTTGCAGAGAAAGATATTGATCTTTGCAAATTTTTGTTGCAGATATCAGGCCNATTTGAAACTTTTAATTTAGACAGATTCTATCAGAAACACTTTCTATTTTTTTTTTATAGTATTTCCCAAACCACTTTGGCTATTGAACAGTTTGATTATTTTTATTAGAGTGTAAAGTAACTGACAAAGGCTTTTATCTGTAATTAAATGAATTCTGCAAGTTTCTTCCATTTGCAGAGAAAGATATTGATCTTTGCAAATTTTTGTTGCAGATATCGGGCGAAACATCTGACAGACTAAGCATTTTCACGAAATTCAGGGGTGAATTGAATGAACTACCAAAATGAATGATCTGGGCTAAGTGGGTCAGAAAAAAATTAAATAAAATTTTCTGGAAATTTCAAATGTTTAATTCAATTCCCCAAAACGGCCGTAGAATTTCGATTATCTTGAGAACTACAATAGTCAAAACCTCAAATCAGAATTCATAATGAAGCTAGGAAAATCTCCAACACCACCCACCCTTTATGAACCCGGTTTTGCCACAGGATTCCACCAAAAACCCCACAAAATCACATTTCTGTCCAAGATTCGGTTTCGCTGATTATCTCGATAAAGAATGCTCCGACACATCACCAGCTTCTTTCTGGATCAGGAACTCCCGTATGGTTTCCCTGGCATGATCAACCCCCACCCCTTGCCCCCAGAATTCCAAAAAAAATGTCAAGAAGTTTAATTCGATTCCCCAAAACATCCATAGAATTTAGATCCTCTCAAGAACTTCAATAGTGAGAACCTCAAATCAGAATTCATGATGAAGCCAGGAAAATTTNTTCGATTCCCCAAAATGTCCATAGAATTTAGATCCTCTCAAGAACTTCAATAGTGAGAACCTCAAATCAGAATTCATAATGAAGCCAGGAAAATTGCCAATCCCACCCACCCTTTATGAACCCGTTTGTAGAAATATTGGATAGAAAAATTCAATAGAATTCGATTTTTCTACACAACTTATTCTATTGAAATATTTTCTATTGAATTTTCTCGAATTTTCTTAATTGAAGTTTTCTTCATTCAATTTTTCTTTTCTTCCTTTCAAGAAAATCAAACAAAAAAACTTAGAAAATTTGAGCTGAAGAAATTTCAATAGAAAATATTTCAATAGAATAAGTTGTATAGAAAAATCGAATCATATTCACTTTCTATAAGATATTTTCAATTGAACATTTTAATAGAAACGGCCAAAAACTAATGGAATTTCTACAGAAAACCAATAGAATTGTCTAACGAAATCGCCAAGTTTTTCTATTAAATTTTGTCATACGTGAAGCGAGAACAGAGATCTATGGGTTGATTTTTTTTGCATTTAGAATTGGCCCATCTGCACAAAGCGATTGTGGGCGAATTTTTGCCTGGCCCTGGTTAATCATTGTTGTTTCTATGTTATTTTGTTGTTGAAAACGTTTTCAGGAATCCACTAACGATAGAATATGTCATGAGAGTAATTGACGTTTCTTATCTTTCGTTTATTTTAGGCAAACAAGGAAGCTGGAAGAGATAGATGGACACATCGTAGACATCAATACCCAGATGGCTATTCAAAAGGAAAAAATCATTGAAATCTGGAACGGAGGAAGAGATTGAAAACAAAGCACAAAAATGGTAGCTGAGATGGATACTCGCCAACGTTCAGTCCTAAAAAAAATAAAAAATTATGATAAAAAAAATAACATTTAGAAATAATGCAGGAATAAAAACGATTGAGTATAATGTCGTGACTTTTTTAAAATGTATGTGCTGTTGTCAATTGGGTAGGAGTGGGTCATGTCAGGGAGTCCATAGGGGAGTTCCTGATCCAAAAAGAAGCTGGTGATGTCTCTTGGAGCATTCGTTTTCGAGATAATCACCGAAACCGAATCTTGGACAGAAATGTGATTTTGTGGGGTTTTTGGTGGAATCCTGTGGCAAAACGGGTTCATAAAGGGTGGGTGGGGTT